AGCCGCGGAAAGAGTGCACACATCATCCTATGTTTCATGAAAAAATTCCACTTGTAATCTCCAGACTATTTCGAGGGATGAGGGACGCTAAGCTGCTACAGTTCGGCTGCAATTTGATAGGAGATGTTATCTAATAGTCAAAAAGTAGGGACTAATGGATACATTAGCACGTCCCCCTTTAATACTCCATAAATAGCAGATTGACAGGCACTTTCTTAAAAAGTGCTAACTGCATTTAAAACGTTTGGTGTATGTTGCGCAATTTTTTTCCGAATTAAAATAAATTTTTCGCCGATTCGTGATGAACAACTAATGTGTCATTCAGTCGAAACTCTGAGCATAAATGCATGGATAGTCGCGATTGATCATTCTTATACAGTCGCACATACATTATTCTTAACCAGTGATTTATTTAATAGACTTTTAACATTCTGTCAAAATTTCTGCTAAAGAACTATTGTTGAAGTATCAAATAAGTTGTGACACGACAAAGATTATTCCACTTTTAATACAGCTGCTAACTAATAATTTTGTTTTATTACCTTAATATCGCCTATGGTTCTATAAAGACTAAAGTATACTTAATTTGTCCAAAAAACATATCTCGAAGGATCTAAATTATTTATCTCATTACTGTACACCATATTCCACTGTTCCATATTTGTGAACATACAAGCTCTATGTAATAAATCTTATCTTCTGATTAATAGAAATATGAATAATCTACTTCCATGTTTCCAGTTTGTACTTACATAATAAATAAATTGTCATTTTGCTGGTAGCATACAAAGGCACACGAGTAGTTGTATCAAGTGCGCTTTAACGTCGAACATTCTGATTGAAATGGAAAGGCCAAGAAAAAAAAAATCCAATCCACTCAATTTACTTGTAGTATTGAATACGATTTCTTTTCTGATACAAATATACAAATACAGATGTGTGAATATTAAAGAATGGTGAAATCCCACCCCCCACCCTAATAATTTGATGATACATCTTTTGCACAAAAGTGCATAGTCATTTTAAATTGAGGTATCTTTCTCTACCAAGGATTAACAAAGGGAAAGTACTTTAGCGATATTAAGCAATGTTTTTTTTTATTTATAAAATATAAAACTCTACGAATGATAAATAAAGTAAGTGGACTGAAATAATTTTTTTTCAATTATGGTTTTCAATGATGCATTAAGCACTTATAAAAAATAAAATTTATGAATTATTAATATGTATGGATATTTTTATTTATTATGAATTAAAACATACTTTAAACGAAAATTATTTAATATAATTACCAATAAGCAGTTAATTAATTAATAAATATGCAATAAAATAAAAAATAAAATAAAATTTAAATAAAAAATAAAATGAAAAATAAAAAATATGGTAATGAAATCGAAACAATAGTATAATTAATATAAAACTAGAATAAGAATGATAATGTAATAAAATCATAATTTAAGATAAATATAAGAATATATGTTATTTTTTATTGTTTTTATATTATTACAATGTTACTGTTGAAAAAATAAGGAATATTCTTTTAAACACGAAGTATTCGCGTATGTTTTTTAAAAGTGAGATATTCAAATATTTTAATGCCAAGTTTGCATAAAATTAAATAAATCGATGGATAAATATATAACAAATTATACCTCTTACATAATTTATAAATTTCAAATTAATTAACGTAATTCACTTACGTTCAATTGATAGCAACAGAACAGAGCGAGCGGAGCTTAATTATATCTCTTCCAAATTTTCAGTTAAAATTCACAAAATTATTCATAAATCACTTGTATAAATTCTGGTATTGTAATTCTGTATGAAAACGAGAAAAATAAAGAAAGGAAAAAGAAAGAAAAGAGAAAGAAAGTAAGAAAGAGAGAAAAAAGAAGAAAAGTCTTCCAAGTAATGGCGATACAGCGGCAGCGTGCCTGAAATAAAAGATAAGCGCACTCACACGCACATCTTCAAAAACCAAGATATATAAAAACCGGTGTGAAAACAGACCGATTGCACTGATTGCTTGGGTTGCGTGCAGGAGAAAATAGGGCAGTATCTCGACATAACAATTTCAACGAGCCCTACTTGAATTTTTCGTAGAGTTCAATGCTGCTGTGCACTTACACGAGCTCTTACGCACTTTCAATGCTGCTGTGCACTTACGCACGCACACGCATGCACGTGGTCGTAGGAGGGACATTACTCACCGCTGGTTGAACTGTACTCGCCGATATAGCGCCGCGTCAGGTATCGCACAACCACCGCTGCAACAGAAAAAAAAATTGCATGGCCTTATTATTATTGTCTCCTCCCCCTACCCCATCGCCATCATCCCGTCCCTATAACTCTCTCTCTCTCTCTCTCTCTCTCTCTCTTGCTCCTGTTCTTTACTCTCTTTCGAGCTTTATTACAGTGGCGTTATTGGCCGTCAATAAGCAAGCTTTTAATTTTGTACAAAAAAATGATGAGAGAGCTGGGACTTCTGCATTATTTTTTTTACATGCTATTCATTTACAATTATGACGATTATTAGTGGAATTAGGAAATTTATTTAATCTAGATCCTTGGAAATTGTTAGATAATACATGGTTAATTATTATGGCTAAATGCACGATTATATAACATCTCATTGAATAAAATCTAAATTTTTAACCTTAATTGTGAAGAAAATTATATTTATAATAGTTTCAATGGCATAGAGTTGAAGTTAAAGGTGCGCTACAATACAACAGGCTACATGAGGAAAACGTGTGTCAATACTTAAGGATTGTTAACAACTATTGTTAATAAGTATTGTAAAAATTATGCATACGAGCGATCATTTACTTCTTCAAGATTTAGATAATACACTACCAATTTCTTGGACCTAAGAATGCGTCATTGTTCCTCTTGATGCATCATAATTTTACGATCGTTGTGCACCATGACCTACATATATGCACATTTTGTATTATCCTTTTCTGATTAAAAAGTATTTTAACAAACCGTGTGGTTGGATTAAAGTAAAATAAATATTTAGTATATATAGATGTCATTCGAAGTGCAAAGTAGCGAAACGATATCTCGTCATGATTGTCATGAAAGCATTATTTATTATTTATCAAATAGACAATTTGAAACAAAGGCAGCTACTTAACGAAAATAGTTCTCCACAGATTTAAGCAATAGCATTTCATTTACCGATTTATTTAAAAACTTTATATTTGGCCTGTATACTTGTAGTTAAATGACAGATCGGGAACTCAAAAGAATGATAAAAATCCTTTAGTTATTCGTAAACATTTAGAATATTTCAATATAAAAATTAGAACCACAATGACCACTTTAGAATAATTGTATATCAATACTTATATGTAATTTTTTTTTAAAGAAAAAATCAAAGATCAAATGAATTAAATTGCAATATATATCATTTTATTCTAATATTTAGTATACGATATTAAGATTCTTGTTTTACAAATTGCATATGACCAACAATGACGAAAAAATCATCTTAAATTATTATATTTTAATGATAAAACATCAAAATAAGCATATGTAAACATATTGTAAAATAATATTTATAACAAGATATAATGTTAGAAAAGTATAAGAATTTAATGTTCATTTGATGAGCGTTACAGAAAAGTATTCGTAAACAAATTCCACATATATAGGTCTCGATATTCACTATAATAATATAATATTTAAGAGACTGTGAAAGTAAGTAACGGTGAGTCGAAATCGCTTGTTCCTTCCAAGTGAAATATTCATATAACAGGTCATCAAAAAGCAAGTTGTTCGACAAGTCGTCGCCCTTTGAAAAAGTGAAAAAGCAACGCAACAGTCGACTCTCCATCGAATGCCGATGCACTACTTCACGTAGAAGTGTACACGTGCGTGTATCCAAACATCATCGGATGAAGGTGGGAACAATCTTCCCACTTCAGCACCTCAGCACTTCCTCTTAGCATTTTCAGACTGAAAATGGACATTTCCCGTAAGGAGTCACTGGCCCGACTTCGCACAACAGGCACGCATGACTCCGTACGGCTAATAACTCTTACTCTTTCTCTAATTTCTGCTCGGTTAAACGGAGAAAGTAATGAGATGAAGCCAGCGGCTGGCAATACGTGTTATAATAATACAGCAATGATTTATTTGTGCATTGCGGCCGACATTGAAATGCTAAGAAAAATAGAAGAGTATTTATGGGGTGTCGGCTGCGATACTAAATTACAAACCAAGACAATTGGAAAATAAAGAGGACGGCAAAATAAAGAGTTACGGATGAACGTGTACGTGCTGAGGTCCAAAACCCCAATAGATACATTAAATTCTTAAATAATATGTTGTTTGTTATATTGATCGATATTTTGTTTTCATTAAAAATCTAATGTTATTATAACGATTTGATATTTTACAATACTGTTTGTAATGTTTTGAAATTTTAAAATTGGAAGTTGCAGCATTACTTTTAAAATCATAACTGCCCCCAACGACTATCAATCAATTTCATTATAAATGTTCACAAAAAAATATTGAATTATAATTTAAAATAGAAGTATCAAAGTGTTATGGGAGTATCAAAGAAATATCAAAATGTTATCCATTATTACGTACTTCGTAAATAATTAATTATAAATATTTAATAGTATTATTAGTTTCGTTATTATTACTAAATATAAGAACTGTTTGATAAAAAAGATTATAAAATATGTATAAAGAGATAAAAGAAAAATACATATTATAATAAAAAGTATTGGATTAAAAAAATGTTTATTAAGACTCTTTTTGAAGTGTATCGAATCATTGCGAAATAATATATATGACTATGCAGTGATAGCAATGTTAAAAAAATTAATTTTAATTAAAAAACGATAATTTAGCAATGTTATTTCTGTTGCAGAATAAAATAAATTGTTATTTATGAGATATTATCAAACAATATTTTGAAATTTATGCTTACTGTATCGCGCTTAGTGGATTAAATAATATATAATATTTCTTGACAATTAAGCTTATCAAAATCCATATATATAATTGTTGAAAATAAGTTAAATATATATATATATATATATATATATATATATATATATATATATCTTCTTTCTATCATTTAGTCCAATGTAAATATTAGTATTATAAATTTTCAAAAGTTAAAACTTCTTATAATTAAGCATCTGGAGATGGGAAAAAGTCAATACAACGTTTATTCTTCCATTTCATCTCACCAGACAAATATATACCGAACCTCCTGAACGTAATTGACACTAACCAACCACTTTCATTCAATGAATCTAAATTTGTCATTGGATTCATACGGAAATAACGAGCGGTGCGTGACACATAATTAGTACGCTTTTCCCGCACGGTAGGCTAATTGCCGTCGATAACTTTGACAGGTGATTGGCGTCAGTACCGTTAGAAAGTGCATACCATGCACGACACCGGATTTAAATTTTTTACATTAGAACGGCGCGTGCCTATACGTTACTCTTCATTCTTTGCGTTATATGACTCGGCTTCATTTAATATTCATCATCTGACAAATGATATACTCTGATGTGCATGACAAAAATGAAAAATAAAAATTGGCGAATAATGGGATTAAATACAGTTGATAAAATTTCGATTGATAAAATTGGAATTTCCAATTAAGTATGGTATTAAAAATTATTGTAATATTTATTTCTTCTTCTGGGATCACACATCATATAGGAAAAGACATGCGGTGATTGTCAAAGTCATTAGTCACATACCACTAATGCAAGGTTAATCAGACTAACACACTGTTTCATTAGAAAATTTACTTCGACTATGTTTTATTTTATTTATTTAATTATAAAATATATGATGATAATGGAAATAATCAATTTTCTCGATTATTTAAGAGAGCATCTATTTTATTCAATTTTTCAATAAATAAGCTGATAAATACAATTATTTTACACAAAAATGAAATCAAATTTCATATTATTTTTAAACATAATATTTAACAAATTAATTAATTAACAAATGACTACATTGATTGGAATCATAATGTAAATACGTATGCACGAGAACCAATATTTTATTCTTTAAAAACATATTTCGATATCCTTTATCATCGTAAAAATTATATTTTCATCAAATTTACATGTATATATATATCCATTTTACCTAGTTATAGAATAAAACTATTCTTTGAAATCTCAAAATAAAAGTCTTACATTTTTTATAATACCATTTATTTATTTTTTCAAACACAATTATACTAATATCCAAGAATTATGAAGTATATGTCTTATGAAGCTTAATGTGAATAAAATACTATTTTGAATGATAATTAAAGAAAAATATATTAATGTAAATTTTAAGTAATACACACATATATTATAAAACATTTTGTTCAGAAATTATATTTATAAATTGCTTTATCAGCTTTTTCTCATTATAGTTAATTCATCGACAATCATTAAACTATCATTATCAATTATTAAAACTATGTATATTATGGTAATAAAAAAAAATAAATTACTTAATGAGCTTTATAATAATAATTGTCAATATTATGTCAATATATGTCTTCTATTCAATTGCATGGAAATATTTTAATTATATGTCGAAGACAAAATCATAATAAAATATGGTTGAAAAAATACTTTATCTAACACTAATAAAATTAATCGTACATTAATTTCATATGCTCACTCATTTGAAATACCTAATTTGTAAATATAATTTCTGACATACAACAGTATTTATAATTTATTAAATTATATTATTACATAAAATTCAAATAAACAGAGAATTTATAGTGCAGAATAAAGTGGAACGCTTCATTTTTTTGTATTCTTTAAAACAGAAACATTTATTTATAAGATAAAACAAAAACAATTTAGCGTACAGTACGTGCAGTATACACAATGAAAAAACAAAAATGATGGGGTATAACATGGTAATAATGGTGAACCGTTCTACAATGCAATATATGAGTGCTAAAGCAAGGATTTGTTTACAAGTCAATCAAGTTATATTTCACACGTTGTAATAAACAACGGTAAGAGCACTTTCTGCAACTGAGATCATGCGATCCAGTGTAACGTTTCATTTACGATTATTGTCTTTTATCTCTTTCACTATTTCAAGGAATACGCTCATTTAATAACAAAGGAATATTAATCACGATATGTTTGCCCAAAGAATTCATTCGCTAATAACTAAAATTAATTACAATTCTTGTTACTAATAAGTGAAAAATGCATAACAACTAATGAAGTCAGATTAAGAAAAGATAAGAATT